GGGGGTGCGGTAATGTCTGATTCTTGCAGCCAAGGACAGCCCCTCCCCATCTGTGTACTCCAGGATGACAAGAGCCACTGGGACCTATACTCTGAGAGGCAAGTTTTCCCAGGAATATGGTGAGAAAGGAGCAGGACAAGGACGGCCCTCCATTTGCATGAGACCCCTCACCTTTCTGGGAGCCGCCACGTGTATTGCTGCATCTATGCCTCTTCTCAGGCAGTTTCCACAGCCTGGGGCACCCTTGCCCCTGGTCTCCCCGTTTATGTCCTGCCAGGGCGGTGCTGAGCATTTCTCCTAGCACAGCACTTACATTCCGTACTGGAGTTGTTAGTTGTACTGTCTCTTCTCCCCACTTAGTAGGTCTCAGGAAATGCTGGTTGAATTGGATGGATTGTGCCTTCCAAAGTATTCCTCAGTCAAAGCGAATGTCTCCTAATCCCTCTGTGAAACACACATCAGATTTTCCCCATGTTCATGTTGTCCATGCAGGGCTCTGTCTTTCCCTTCCCCTTCTCCCAGGAGGCAAGGACCCAGCCCTATTGTTGTGTGTACCCCCAGCCTGGCTCAGTGCCTCCTGCCCCAGGATGGCAAGTGCTCAGGCCCAAAGGAGGGGCCGGCGATTGACATGCTTCTCATCAGGGCAGTGGGCTCTCCTAATGACCAGCCGGGGCCTTGGTTATTTTAGGGTGATTTTCTCAGGTCACCAGAGGGGGTGGGGCAGGGGTAGGGGATGCCTTAGCACTGTTCGAAGATCTTAATTTTGGTGGCACTATCCAGAGGGTTCTGTTGTACTTTGTGTGAAAGAAGAGGAGGAGGGATACACAAGCCTTAGCCAAAGAGACAACACCGAGGCACCATGCTTTAGAGCAGGGTTCATAACCTGGGATCCAGAGACCCCTGCCAGGAGGTCTGTAGATTGATTCAGGGGGTCCATGAATTTGGGTGGGCGGAAAAAATCACATCTTTCTTTTACTAACCTCTAACTGAAATTTAGTATTTCCTTCTATTTTGAGCACAAACAACAAACCACAGCAGCAGCTGTCTCTGTGACTATCACCCATAGAAATCCACTGATATTTTCATATGGTATCAGTTGTTGCAGATATCTCTAAATATGATTTATGCTCATCACTACCCCAAAATCATGGTAATATGAGACAATAATTATAAGACTTACCACTAGATCTTATTTCATAGAGTAAGAAAGAACACATACTGATATGCAATATACAATATCAAAAGTTTGCTTCTTAATGTTGTTAATATTTGCATAACCATATTTCAATAGAACTGGCTTCCTCTGTAATTCTATATATGTTATGCATGTAAGAAATTCTGAAACGGGGTCCACTGGCCTCCCCAGAGGGGTACAGGGAATGTAAGAACCATGCTGAAGAGGGAGGTTGCTGCAGCCTTAGATGGGGAGGAGGAGCAGGGGCAGGCAAATGGGGTGCCCTACACTCTGCTCTCACCCTTTTTAGACCCTTTCCTGGGGCTACGGCCCCCTGGGGGAGGGCCAGGTGGGAAGGGAGCTCGCTGGCACGTGTGACTCCCCGGGCTGGCACCCCCACCCTCCTCACCTCGCCTCCTCCCTCCCCAGTCCCAGCCATGATCACCTCCCACCCCAACACCACCATCGCCATCAAGGGCCATGCCAAGGAGCTGAACTGCACGGCGCGGGGTGAGCGGCCCATCATCATCCGCTGGGAGAAGGGGGACACGGTCATCGACCCCGACCGCGTCATGCGGTACACCATCGCCACCAAGGACAACGGCGATGAAGTTGTCTCCACACTGAAGGTGAGCGCCCACCCCCAGTCGTGGGGATCCTGTGTCTCAGAGAGTGGAGAACCTGCAACTATTATGTTTGCATCCAAATGAGGTAAATGGGGAGTCTGGGGACCTTTCCCTTACCCTGGAAATTTCCTCCCCTTTCCTACCTGTCTCCCTTCTCCATCCATGAACCTCTGCTTCAGAACCTCACTATGTCTCCTTTCTGACAACCCCACAGCCATCACATGTGGGCTCCTCAGCCTCTCCTTCCTTTCTGGGACCCCCGTGCTCCATTCTTTCTTCTGGGATCCCTTAGCCCTTCCGTCCTCCTAGACCCCTCACCCTGTCCCATCCTCCTGGACCCCTCAGCCCCTCTCTTCCTCCTGGGACCCTTCAGTGCCTCTCTTCCTCCTGGACTCTTAAGCTCCTCTCTCCCCCTGAGGGACCCTCAGCCCCTCCCTGCATGGACCCTTCCGTATTTCCATCCTTGGAGCCCTCTAGGAAGAGAAGCCCTTGACAAAGCCCCTTGTGGGTCCCCCCCAGAACAAAATGGCCTTGCTGATATCCCTGGAGTGCTCCCTTCCACTGACCAGCTCTAAAAGACTCTCCCAATTTCCTCCCTTTCCTGCCCCTGCTGGCCTCTCCCAGCTCAAACCAGCTGACCGTGGGGACTCTGTGTTCTTCAGCTGCCACGCCATCAACTCCTATGGGGAAGACCGGGGCTTGATCCAACTCACGGTGCAAGGTACCTCCACCTGCCCCACCATTCCCAGCCCACTTCCCCAGGGGCCAGGGCCCACAGCATGGCAGAGGATGACAGAAAGTGGCCTTCTAGGGAAACGCCTCCCTCCTCTCTCCCTCCTGCCCTGAGTGGGGAGATAGGGCCTTTCCAGGCACACTTCAGACAATGGCTCCAGCCCCTACAGTGTCCGCCACCAAATCCAGGAGGCAGGGGGTTGGAGGGGAGTCAAGGTCCTGGGCCCAGACCATTGGAAGAGGTGTGGGAAGAGAAAGTGGAGCTGGGAAAGTTGGGAGCTCTGCGTGAGGGGAAAGCAGGCTATCAGCTTGCGGGAATCCCTGCAAAAGGGCTGGAGGAGAGAGGGCAGCAAGTCGGGGGCCCTGCTGCTGGCCTCCTCAGCCCCCACCTGCCCAAGCCCCAGAACACCAGGGTCCTTGGGTAGAATGCAAGTGACACCATCCCCCAGGGTGAGTAGGAGGCCAAGCTCCCTGCTGCCATCCTTACTTCTGCCCCCTCCCCCAACACACCCCAGAGCCCCCTGACCCCCCAGAGCTAGAGATCCGGGAGGTCAAGGCCCGGAGCATGAACCTGCGCTGGACCCAGCGATTCGATGGGAACAGCATCATCACAGGCTTCGATATTGAATACAAGAACAAATCAGGTAGGTGCTGGGTGGGAGGGGGCGGGTTCAGCCTACGGTGGCCCCTGGCACCATGTGCCCTTCCTGGGCCTCTTTGGCGGAAGCATCATCACAGGCTTCGATATTGAATACAAGAACAAATCAGGTAGGTGCTGGGTGGGAGGCGGCGGGTTCAGCCTACGGTGGCCCCTGGCACCATGTGCCCTTCCTGGGCCTCTTTGGCGGGACAGCCCTTGGGGCCTTAGGGCTGCCCATCTAAAGCACCAGCACCCACCCGTACACAAGCCCCTGTGGCTTCCAAAGGCAGGGACGCTGGTCAGGCTGGGAACCCAGGGAGCACACTGAGGGACCCCCGGTTGATGGGGAGTGGTGTCAGCCCCTTCTTGCCAGGATTGTCCCTAGGCCAAGGTCCTCAGGGTGGTCTGACTTACAGCAATTTAGAAGCACTGAGCCCAGGGCTGTGGGCTGTCTCAGGGGGTCAGGGGCATCATGGGTTTGGCCAGGTCATCTGGGTGCTCCTGGTTTGGGATGAGATGGATGACCAGAGGTCAGAGAGCTGGTCTTTTCCAAGACTGGTCACTAGGGGATGGGAGTCCCTGGAAAAGCCTGGATCTAAGTTTCTCCCTCCTAGAAAACTTTACAAATTCTTCCTCGCAGACCCTAGCTGGCTCCTGTGAGGCTTCCCCACCACTGTGAGGTGCTGTGGGGTAGAGGGAACAATGGGCACCCAGTGCCCGGGGAAATGACGGTGGTTCCCACCATCAGCTGGCAGAGATGACAAGGTGGGGGCCTCAGAAGGGACAAGAGGGCACCTGGATGGCTTCAAGGTGGGAGTAAGAAGAAAAAACCTCATTCTGTATCCTTTTGTACCTTTTTAATTCAATACCATAAGCCTACAAGGGTACTTTAAAAAGCTTGTGGAAAGATTCATATTATCTTTTAATTCTATTTTTTTATGAACTTTTTGACGTAACCTCCTGTATTAGCTTCTCAAGATAATTTAAAAACAAAAGGAGTGTAGAGAACTCCACCCTCCTCAGCCCCCTTCCACTGCCAATTCCAACTCATCTTTTGGGTCCTAGCCTAGATGTAAGGTTCTTCTCCTAGATGTAAGGTGTCTTCTCCTGAAGCCTTCCAGATCCTTCCTCTCACATCCAGCATGGTATGTGGCCATCGGCCTGCTGGCTGTCCTCTCCTCTTGACTGACTGAGTTCTACTCCCTGTCATAGTCCCAGTACCTGGCACAGGGGCCCAGCCACAGAGCAGCAAGTGTTGCTGAGTGAGCTGTTGTGAGACACAGTGAAGCAGATCTCTGAGTTACATCCACCCTTGAGAGGCAGCTCTGTGCAGGGCAGCAGGCCAGTCATCATTGATATAGTTTTCTACAAAGAGGAGCCTGCCCTCAGAAGCTGACAGTCCTGCAGCAGTCCGCCATCCAGGAGTCCAGCCTGAGTGCAGGAGGCCACAGAGCAAAGGAGGGGCCACAGCCCACAGGGGTCATCAGGACAGGCGTCGCTCTGGTCACTGTAGACGCTGCATTGAGCTGGGTCTTGAGGACCGGAAGGCAGCGGGCTGAGATCTCAGGGAAAGGGAAGGGCAGAGCCTGAGCAAGGGCGCAGCACACTCCAGGGAGCGCCTGTGGTCTAGTACATGGTTCATAGACACCATTCATAGGCAGCGAGGCTGCAAAAGCACTTTGTTGCAAGGTTGGGAGGGAGGTCTTCGGGCTGAGCTTTTACATCATTGAGGCAGGTCCTTAAGAGCCACTGACCATGTCTGAGCTCCAGAGAGTGGCCTGAGCAACAGAGCACCTTAGAAAGAAGGATGGAGGCAAGTGGAAGAAATGCGTATCCAGGAGATGGGCGAGGAGGCCGTTGCAGCCCTGTTGCTGGGGAGAGGTGCCGAGACAAAGGACACGGAGGGGACAGGAGGGCTGACTGGATCCATCTCACATATCAGGGCTCCGCAAGGCTGAGCACAAGCTGCCCAGGAGCAAATAGGAAGGGGTGGGTCCCTGAGCCAATGTCTCCATGTGGCAGTGCATGCTCCATCTCCAGCTGGCCTGGCCCGTCACCTGTGCCCTCCCTCTCTGCTCCTTGGAACTGCCCACCTCCTTCACGCCGCCCTGCTGCCCACTCCCCTCCACTGACCACTCTCTAATGTGTGGAAACCTTTCCACACATTATTAATGTGAGGGCACCACTCAGCAGGGTGACACTGAGAACCTCACACATATGGAGAGCAATGCAGGAGAGACAGGCAGGGACAATGCCATTCTCAGAGCATGTTCACATCTTCCCCGGATCCCATGCAGCTCCCCTGCAGGATGGGGAACCGCCATAGCCCCCCTACCCTGAGCTGGGAATGCCAGGATGGTGGGCAGGGTAGAGAGAGGGATGATGAAAGCCCAACCTCACACTATCCCTTCCACAAGGGCTCACACCTTCAAAGGGATGAGTCACAGGATCCAGAGCACTGAGAAGGCAAACAGTCCTCTGCCCTACCTCTGGGTGGCACTGCTCCAGAACAGCCTACCCAGATGGGCATCTGTCACATCCTGGCATTTAGGAACAGGAATTCCATGAGAACCATGGTTCACTACCATTGGAGACAGGCAGAGACCAGGGACCCAGCACCTCTTCCTTGTCTGTAAAGTGGGAACGGTAATGCCTACCTCGCGGGAGTGTTGGGAGTGATGAACAGAAGACATCTAGCATGGGGTTAGAGTAAACCTTTAAGAAATGTAAGTTCCTGTCCCCTTTCTAACTCAAATACCTCATGTGGCAATTTATGGTCCTGTGGGACTTGCAGGATGAAATATATGTGTCTGTCAGTCAGTCACATGTACTGAGTGCCAATTTTTATTTTTTGCAGAATCATGCGCCAGCCATGTGGTAGGGAAAGGAAAAGAAATAGGAGACAGAATGTTGTCCTTGGAGCTTACAGTGAAGTTGGAGTGAGAAGATACACTGTGCGCACGCACACACACACACACACACACACACACAC